CTGTGCCTTCATCCTGTGTACTGCCCCCCGCTGGCAGCATCTGCCCCTGCCCCCTCCTCACCGTGGGGGGGGTGTTGGTCTGCCCCCCATGCCCCTTCCCTCTCCCCTTCCCTTCCACCACAACAGACTTACCACCTGGAGGCAGCTGTGTCGGATACTGTATCAGCTGATATGCCTCCTTAAATGTTGGCTATTGGCCCCCAAAATCTCTATCGGGCACCCCTAACAAATACCACTATAAGATAATGATCCTTGGTCTGTCCCAGAAAAAGGCGCATAAGGACCTGAGGGAATGAGGAGGGAGACTAGTGTTCTCCTTTGGTGTAACATGCTCTGAACTTAAGCCATTTGCAGTCAGCACAGTTAATTATTTAAGTAAACTGCTCTTTCCCTGTTTCTGCTTTTTTCTTTTTTCTTTGCCTGTGTAAGCTACCTGACCTCATTTCCCTTGGGGTGAGAGGTAGGTGAGGAAGAGCGTGTTTCTTCTTTCTCTTTGGCTCCCAATCAGACTACCATAGCCACATTTGTTATAGGTGTTCTCTTTGAGATTGGGACCAATTTATGTCAATGTTATTCTTGTGGGTGTGTATAGTGTCAGGCCCTGATGTTGGAAGCAACCAGGATTATGACAGTGGAAATGGTAGTTGGAACACAAGTTGTACAGCATGAATACATGGTTGCTTTGGGGATATGTATGTCTCAAAGTTTCCATATGTGTAACTTACTACATATCAACTAAAATATCTGATGGATATTGTGGGATTTATTGAGGTTTCAGCTTGATAAACCAGAAAAATGATTCAAAATTATTTGAATGAATTTCAGTTATGTGCAGGACTGCATTTGTTCTAAGACAGATCATATGCAGAGATACAGACTGAGGAACATTTAGTTATGCTGTAGTATTGCAGAAAAGGTCCTGGGGCTTATAGTGGACTGCAAGCTGAGTATGAATCGACAGTGTGTGTGTTTGTTGGCAAAACAAGCCAATAGTGTACTGGGTTGTATCAGCCAGTTGATACACCCAGCTTCAAGTCATGAGAAGTTATTCTTCTGCTCTATTCCCCTAAACTGTTTGCAGTGGTGGCAGATGACAGAACAAGGTTGAGGATATTAGGAAAAACTTGGAGGGTGGTGAAGCACTGGAGCAGGTGACCTGGAGAGGTGGTAGAATCTCCATGTCGGAGGTTTTTAAGGCCTGGCTTGACAAAGCCCTGGCTGGAATGATCTAGTTGGGGATGGGTCCTGCTTTGCGTTGGTCCAACTGACCTCCTGAGGTCCCTTCCAACCCTAATTTTCTATTATTTTATCATTCTGTGATTCTGTTCAATACTTGTGAGGCCTTACCTGCAGCCTTGTTTCTAGTTTGGGCCCCACCTTTCAGGGAAGAGTCCATGGGAGAGCAACAAAAATGATTGGAGGGCTGGGAAACATGGTTTATGAGAGGGAGAACTGGGATTATTTAGTCTGGAGTTGAGGAGAGGGTTTTGGAGTGTCTCCTTTATTTTCC